CAGGAGTCTCTGGGAGCAGCTCCAAGGCAGAGGGCAGGAGCAGCACATGGCAGTGGGGGGAGGGACAGCTGAACTGCCCAGCAATTGCTAGCCTGATGGGTGGCTGCAGCACAGGGAACTTAGGGGAGCGGGGAGCTGATAGGGGGGCTGCCGGTCCACCCTGGTTACAAGCCCCCACCAGCTAGCTGCAATGGGCTGCTCTTCCTGGACAAAGCAGGCGGCTGCCAAACGACGTTAGAAGGGAGCATTGCACAACTTTAAACGAGCATGTTCCCTAATTGATCAGCAACGTAATAACGTTAACTGGGACGACTTTAAGTGAGGAGTTACTGTACTGTTCTCCCACAGAATTTTTACTTTTGTTCCTTGTTTTGTTGAAGTGGGAGTAGACAGGCTCTTCGCTGACAAGCCTGGTCTGAACTGCATATAAAAGTACGAAAAGTGCTTATCTTGTTTAGCCTAACCAAAAGAAGGCTGAAGGGATATGTGATTGCTCTCTATAAATGCATCAGAGGGATAAATACCAGTTAGTGAGAGCAGTTATTTAAGTTAAGCACCAATGTGGATACAGGAACAAATGGATGTAATCTGTCCATCAACAAGTTTAGGCTAGAAATTAGGTAAAGGTTTCTGACCATCAGAGGAGTGAAATTCTGCAACAGCCTTCCAAGGGGAGCAGAGGAGGCAAAAACCTAATTGGCTTCAAAACTGAGCTTGATAAGTTTATGATGGGGATGGTATGATGGCACTGCCTACAATGGCATAGAGCCATGCTGTGACTCCTAGCAGCAAGTATCTCCAATGGCCGATGATGGGACACTAGATGGGGAGGGCTTTAAGTAATTACAGAGAATTCTTTTCCAGGTGTCTAGTTGGTAGGTCCTGTCCACATGCTCAGGGTCCAATCGATCATCATATTTGGGCTGGGAAGGAATTTCCCCTCAGGTCAGATTGGCAGAGACCCTGAGGGTTTTTTGCCCTCCTCTGCAGCATGGGGCATGGGTCACTTGCTCTTTAGACTAGTGTAAATTGTGGATTCTGTGTAACTTTAAATCTTTAAAGCATGATTGGAGAACTTCCATAACTTAGCCAAAGGTTACGGATCTATTACAGGAGTGGATAGGTGAGCTTCTGTGGCATGCAATGTACCGGAGGTCAGACTAGATTATCATGATTGTCCCTTTTGACCTTACAGTCTATGAGTCTAAAAAAGAGAGGTTCATTTGGTTTGGTGCTTTGAACACTTTTGGGCTAGTGCAGGTGGGAAGAGGGGCAGAGGAGCAGCAGGGGTGGAAAAGGGACCTGAAAAGAGGTGATGGGAAGGAAAGGAAACAAGTGGAGAAATGAGGGGGAAAAGCTGAAATGGACCAAAGCAGAGGAGTCTGGAATAAAAGAGCTCAGCTGGAACTGGGAGAAAGACACTCAGGAGCATGCAGGACATGGGGCAGCCAGAGGAGGGACTGGTGACCCTGAAGATCTGTTCTCCATGGAGTTGTAGGTCAAGAGAAGGCTGATGGACATTTGAACAACTGGGAATCCAAGCCTAGGTCAGGATGGCTTGAAGAATTCCCCAACTTTTACTGCACCTGCAGGTAGGATGAGTGGGGAAGAAGAGAAAAAATGGGATTCTGGGTAACTGAGGCTAGGGAAATAGGTAAGAGGGAGCAGTTAAGAGAAGAAATGGGGAGGGGTTAAAATGAGGGGAGACTCGGAAGGGAGAGAAATGCAAAGGCCGAGGGAGGTGTTTTCATCCCTGCTCCCACCCTGCTGTCAGGGGGACTTCTGGGCATTCCCCTTACAACACATACCAAGCCACAGAGACTGAGTATTTTCCCCCAGTCATCATGCTCCCTAGCATTGGGGTGGGGCACCCAGGAAAACTTCCCTTTCACTCCAAGGCTTGGTTAAGCAGAGCTTCCACACAGCTTTCCCTTCCTGCTCCTAACTCAACCTGCCTCCGCCACATTGGGGTGGGGCTAGCTGTGCTAAGCTTCCTTCTTTTCTTGGTGCAAACACCATCATGGAGACAGTAGCTGCTGGTTTCCAGACAGACAGGCAGCCCCAGTGAACACCTGTGAGGGCTGTAAACACCTGTGTGCATAATTTAAAGAGACAAGCCCCATTTAAAAACAATGAGAATTATTTTAATAGCTTTGCCAGGCTGGGGTCAAGAGCTTCCCATATGATTTCATATTATCGCTGTGAGCCAGTCTGATTGTGTTGGGTAGGGAAGAGATGGGGGAAATACTAAAGACACCGGAAGATGGGATCCAGAGAAAGATACAAGGTCACAGAACTGATATAAGGGAGGAGGTCAAAACAATTAAGGGTGAGGTGGGGTGAAAGAATGAAAGATGAAAAGTGGGGAATGGAAAGGAAAGCCACACCATTTTAAGCTTAGAAATCTTTTATTTTTTACTATATTTGCTAAAGTCACATGCATGCTTATGGTTGGCCCTGTTTATTTGAGTTTACTTTTTGTCTAAAATGGCTTTGTAAAAGTATTTTCATTCTTTCTAAAGTGCAGTTACATTACTGATAAGATGTAGCTAAATCTGTTTTTATAAGAGCAATATAAGCCTTTTTGCGTGCAGGCGTTCACAACTGAAATCTGTGCAGAGCCATATTTCCTTCTTCCACTGTAATGGAAAATAGAATTGTACAGTTGACTTTATGTGCTATGCTGCAATAAAATTACCTTCTACCTAGTACTGGATGATGTTCTTAAGTTTAGGGTGGTGCTTTAATCTTTTTTTTGGGGGGGGTGTCAAGGCTCCTTCCCCACTCTGAACTTTAGGGTACAGATATGGGGGCCTGCATGAAAACTTCTAAGCTTAACTACCAGCTTAGATCTGGTCCGCTGCCACCACTCCCAATGGGCTAACTCCCTTCCCTGGGTAGCCTTGAGAGACTCTTTCACCAACTCCCTGGTGAACACAGATCCAACCCCTTGGATCTTAAAACAAGGAGAAATCAACCATCCCCCCTCCTTTCTCCCACCAACTCCTGGTGGATCCAGATCCAACCCCCTTGGATCTAAAAACAAGGAAAAATCAATCAGGTTTTTAAAAAGAGGGCTTTTAATTAAAGAAAAAGGTAAAAATCATCTCTGTAAAATTAGGATGGAAAATAACTTTACAGGGTAATCAAACTTAAAGAGCCCAGAGGAACCCCCTCTAGCCTTAGGTTCAAAGTTACAGCAAACAGAGGTAAACACCCTAGCAAAAGGTACATTTACAAGTTGAGAAAACAAAGATAAAACTAACACGCCTTGCCTGGCTGTACTTACAAGTTTGAAATATGAGAGACTTGTTCAGAAAGATTTGGAGAGCATAGATTGATGTCTGGTCCCTCTTAGTCCCAAGAGCGAACAACCCCCAAAACAAAGAGCACAAACAAAAGCCTTCCCCACACCAAGATTTGAAAGTATCTTGTCCCCTTCTTGATCCTTTGGGTCAGGTGTCAGGCAGGTTACCTGAGCTTCTTAACCCTTTACAGGTAAAAGGTTTTTGGAGTCTCTGGCCAGGAGGGATTTTATAGTATTGTACACAGGAGGGCTGTTACCCTTCCCTTTATAGTTATGACGGGGGGGTGGCATGACCATGGCTGGAATGCTACTTGGTGAACTGTATAAAGGGCCAGTGGAGAGGGAAGTAAAACTGTGGAAAGTAAGTGTAGGCTGTGCATGGATTCTACTTGGGGAATCAATGGAATCAATCAGAAGGCATGCAAACCTCCGCTCAGAAGGAAATCCAGGAGGGCTAGAAGTGAACTAGTATGAGTAAATTATAAAGTTCAAAAGGTCATTTGATCCAAACAGAGTGGAGCTCACCTTGGAGCTGCAGCAACCAACCAAGAGTTCCCCTCAGCCTGCAGAAGCATATGTATAATATATGGAGATATACCTATCTCATAGAACTGGAAGGGACCCTGAAAGGTCATCGAGTCCAGTCCCCTGCCTTCACTAGCAGGACCAAGTACTGATTTTGCCCCAGATCCCCTAAGTGGCCCCCTCAAGGATTGAACTCACAATCTTGGGTTTAGCAGGCCAATGCTCAAACACTCCCCCCCCCGTACATCGTTATCTGACAGCTCACCACCCCGGATTGCTATCTGTCACTAGATAACCAGTTTGGTGTTTATAGGTCAACTGTCAGGGCTGTTGTCATGGAAGTGTGTGCAGCTATTAACAGGATGCTGCTGCCACAGGTCATAAAGGCTAGGGCACTGCACAGAAGATTATCAATGGCTTTGCATGGCTGGGGTTCCCAAACCGTATTGGGGCCATTGATGGGACCAGTGTATGCTTTGCCCACCATACCAGGCCTCAGAGTTCATCATCAGAAGTCCTCCAAAGATTTGTTGATTACTGCAGCAGAAGCATCAATATTGATGTAGGGTGGTCTGGAAAGGTCCATGATGCCAGACTCTTTGGAAAGTCAGGCCTCTTTGCTACAATGAATAGGGGATATTTTGCTCCCTGGACCACTATAGATATCAATGGTGTTCTGATTCCCCCTGTCATTCTGGGAGACCCAGCTTCCCCTCTGCTTCCCTGGCATAGGAAGCCTTTTACTGGACACTCGGATGGGAGAAAGGAGCTGGTTACCTGTACCCTGAGCAGTCACAGAACGCCAGTGGGGTATGTATGTGAAGGCTGAAAGGGAGATGGTGATGGCCCGATGATGAAGTTGGAGGCTGCTGAGCAATATGTGCCTCATGTGATAACTGCTCCCTGTATTTTGCACCACATCTGTGCATGGATAAGGAAATACAGCTCAGATTTAGCTTATTTCAGTCTTTAGGAATTTCCCCATTGTATTAATATGTAACCTACACCACCACATTGAGCACAGTTATGCAAACTTAATTTACACAGCAGATCCATATATACTTGCCATAAAATATACAAAATGTACAAACAAAATGCCCATAAACAACTGTATAAATAGTGCTGCTGTGCCACCATTTTTATAACAAAAATTGTGGAGAAAGGGACAATGAGGGTGTTCAAGAGCTTGGTTCTTTTATTTCTAGTACCTGTAGTGAGAGGTTCTATGGTTCAGCTGAAAAATGGTGGCTATGAAGATATTGTTATTGCAATTAACCCTGAGTTACCAGAAGATCACAATATCATTAGAAACATAAAGGTAAGAACTTTGGTGTATGTAATGTCCTTCTGTGACATTCAGACTTCTTGGTTAGTTCTACCTCTACATTAGCTGTAATCTTAAAAGACCAGTTCCAGCCCCCATTAATGACAATGTGAGGTTTTCTCTTGATTTTCATAGGAGCTAGATCAATTCTATGATTACTAAATTTGTTCTTAACTTGAATTTTTATTCAAATGCTTTTGTTAATGAAATGAGTGTACTAATCTCTTGAAGTTTAACAAGAATATTATGGCTCAGGGTCAGGCTGATGTATCACCTCCTTCTTAATTACTTCTTTCCAAAACATGAGTACCTTCGACTAGAGAATCTCCAGAACATGGATATTTAATTGCCAATTGCTGCACCTCCATTACAATGTTTGCCATTTGCTTTTATCCCTCCTTTCCCCCATCTTCGCAGGCATTCACTGTGTTCTTAAAAACCCTTGGTGTGTGTATATGTATGTGTGTGTGTGTGTATATATGTATATAGTGATATTTCTGTTTTTAGTTATTCTTTAAGTTCTCAGTGTAGATCTTTGCTCCATGGTCACGATTTGGTCATTGAGCATTCACTTGCTGTAAAGAGAACAATAAACTGAGGGGGGCATAGCCATTAACTAGTGAACCCCCAAACTATTCAAGAGAGGTGGGGAAGGAGCCAGGAGGAGGGGAACAGGAAAATAGTGACAAAGTAGTGCCCACTGTAGAGGCAGGAAGAAAGTAGAACCTAATAGAAGTGGAGCAGAAAAATGAGGAATCCCAGGGAGAAGAAAAAGGAAACTACAGGTTATTACTTACTATTTCTTATTTTATTTGATTCATCAAGCACCACAGTACACTTTACAGATTAATGAAAAGGACTGGTCCAGGACTGAATCATCCTGCACCTCAAGCCCATGTAACTTTTTTGAGGAAATTTCATGTTTGGGTGGAGGTTTTATTTTAAGGGATAGATTGTGGTGTATATTTGTGCCCTTGGAGAAATACTGAGTGTCCCAGAGTTATAATTTGGTTTCTATTTCCGTCATGGAAAAAGGAATCTGTCCCAGCCCTTCCCTTGGCCAAGGTTGGTTTCTTTCTATACCTTCACATACTTAGTGTTACTTAATGTACTCTTGTTTCCTAGCAAGGCTAAACTACTCATTGCCTCTACAATTCAATTTGTAATTCATAAATCTTTTCTTTTCTTTCCCTGCCAGGACATGGTCAAAGAAGCTTCTACTTACTTGTTCAATGCTACAAAACAGAGATTTTTTTTCAAGGCTGTAAAAATTATAATTCCTCTGCACTGGCTGCCAAAACCTGAGTATTTAAGTGTGAAAACAGAGTCATATGATAAGGTAAGACTTAGAGCACCCTTACAAATCAAAAGTATTTGTTGTGTTCATACGCGTGAGACATAGGGTCTTGTCTACAAGGTGGAGTAAAAGCACACTATGGAGGTATGATTTCTAAACCACACTAACGTGTCAGTCATTAATTGGTCCTTGTAGACCCTGCTGGTGTGTATTCCCTGGTGCACTTTAACATAGTGCTGCACTTTAGAAATCACTCCCCTGTAGTGCACGTTACCGCACTGTGTAGACAAGCCATTTTTTCAGTAATGTAGAAATATAAATTGCTCTTTTTAGAATTTGTATTGCCCTCTAGTGCCCAGTCTGCAGTCCTTACCCAGAGGAACAATCACTGGAAGTGATTGCTGCAGGATGAGCCCATTCAGTAGAGTCATCTGTCACCTTCCATTTCCTGATGCTCTTTAAACAAGGGCCATTTTATTTTTAGGCAGATGTTATCGTGGCTAATCCTTTCTTGAAGTACGGAGATGATCCCTACACGCTGCAATATGGAGGATGTGGGGAAAAGGGACGATACATTCATTTCACTCCAGACTTCCTGTTAAATGACACTTTGTATAACATCTACGGATCACGAGGTAGCACCGTCTATTGGACCTTAATTTTCTGCTTTTGTTGTTATAAATATGCAATGGCCGAGATTTTCCAAAGTGACTAGTGATTTGAGATGCCTCAGTTTTTGGTTGCCCAACCTGCGAAACTTTAAAAGAGCCTGTTTTTTCACACAGTGTTGAACATCAGGCTCCCTGGATGAGTCTTAGTTGAACACTCAGAAATGGAGGCACCTAAAATGACCAGTCTCTTGAAAATACTGGCTAATAATTTTACAGTAAATGAAGGTTGTTTTTCCTCGTAAATCATTGCTTTGACTTGGAAATAATCTATATCCTAACATTACAGTGTAGTAAACTAATCTGAGAGTTGCAGTGGGTGTATCCTGGTGAACATGCAGGAAAACCAGTCGCAGAGGATTCTAGAATAGAACAAACTCTCATGAGCGGATCCTCTTCTGAGGACGTGAAGGTTTTTATTGGAACTTCTGAAAGTCACATTTGCCCAACTACC